AATAGAAGCAAACGCTCCATCTGAAGGGGGGAAAAGGCACATTAGCTAGCAGAAATAGCAAAGGGAAAGGTTTTTCAAAAGAAGGATAATTGTATATATTGGCTAATTTCACATGGTTAGCAGATAGTGCCTTTAATAACTGATGGTAGCTGACATTTATTTAGTGAGGGAGCAGTAAGCTTTGCATAGGATCTGTGCAATGTAAAGGTCTTTCAATCGAAGGCTCCAAAGCCAGGTGGATCACATTATATGGGGAAAAATTGAAGCGAGGTTTGCTTTGTGTATTGCAATGTATTATTTCAGTTTGAAGCACTTTGGATATTTGTAAGTTGCTTAATTTTATGCAAACCAGTCCTTTGATGGTTAGAATCTTCACCGTCTTTTGTAATGAATCAGAGAATAACCAGCAAAATGTGTCAGACCCTCATAGAATTTCACTGTTACATTTTACCAAAACATTTTTTAAAAAGTTGACCTTAAAGATAAGTTAGGCTTTTTTCCCCAAAACACAAGTATTCCTAATTTGTTGTCCTTTTATGTGATGACAAACATTTGTCAACCAAGTGCTATAGCAGACATTTTTGAAAATAATAATAGTTAATCATCTCATCAAAGTAAAGGTGACATTTTAGCAGTGAACAACAACAAATTTTTCGAAACAAACTTGCTGTATGGAACAGACTTTTCTACTTTGTTTTAGAGCATTTGGAAACTTCCAATTAGTTTACAAGACCAACTGACTCACCTCAGGATGAGAGAAATGCCTAGCAAAATTTTAACAAAAATACCTTTGCATAAGTGGTGGATGCATTTGAAAATCCAGTATCCAAATTGATAGCTACAGATCATGATGCACTTTTTCCCTTTAGAGTTTTGTATCTTCATGAGGGATAATTTGCAGCTCTGATAGTTGCTAAATTCCAGCATAGATCCGACTTGTGAATCACTGAATTACAGTGTTAAACCAAGACTTTTGAAAATATAAGCATATTGAATCATCTTTTCTCACTGAAACGTTGTTTTAACACTCTACTATTTTTTCAGTGAGAACTGGCAAAAATTAGAGGCCATACAATAACAATATGGAATTGAGATTGGACAGTCAGCCAGCTTCCTGGCTCTGCCACCAACCCGTTAGCTGATCTTGGGCAACTTCTTGTACTCTTCTCAGCCTTTGCTTTTTCAATTCCTAGTACACATAATAATAGCAATTCTAGTAAGTATTACATAGATGTTCTAAGTAGGTATTCAATATATACGTATGTAACATATATAGGTATTCAATAAGTGTTAGTCATAAAATCACCTTGTGGAACAGTGAGCTTTGGCAGAAAAAGCCAAAGCTACAGTTATAGTGCGTATACAGCAATTACCATAGTATTTAAAGCTAATTTACCTTTGTGTCTATTCCCTAATAGACTGTGTTCATTGAGGGTAGGGACTCTGTTACAGTCAACAATCCAAAACCCGGGATGTTGCCTGGTACAAAGATCTGCAATTAGGTTTTAATAAGTTGAATGTGGCTGAGGAATAAAATCTAGAGAGAGAAGATACAAGCTTTTCCCTTGTTTCCACATTCTGGATTCTGAATAATGTCCGGATCCTCTGAGAATTCAGCAGATCCCATCTGGGGAAGCCAAAAAGCCCGCGCGGGGTGCAGCATGAAATATGGAGTCGACAATGGGTTAGGAACCAGACAGGATCCAAGGGTTTAACTTTTTTGGTGGGTTTTCGTTTCTTCACTTTATAGACACTCACAGTGATCATTTACTGGATCTTTCGGTTAAAGCTAAGCCAGAACAACACTGAGCGCTGGACGAGAGCCTGCAGTGAGTCTAGGGAGCAAGGCACAGCCACCAAAGGCAGTCCAGGCCGTGAACCTTCTGTGTCTGATTCATTGCAAGAGACGAATGTCAGCGACTCTGACCACTGCCAGCCCAGCTCTGAACAACTCACAGATGTATTACTCATCCTATTCTATGTTTTACTGTACGGTGAGCACATTCTTTAAAAAAAAAAATTCAAAAGCCTTAATGTTTTCATTTGACATGTCAATGACTAATATTCTCATTGCATTTATTTTAAATGGGCTTCCAAATCACTGATGTATATTGAGATTTTTCATGTCACATTTGAGAGAGCATTATAAGTTTTCATTAAATGTACTATTTTATACATCATTTTCTGGCAATATTACAATCTTATTTTTCAATTTCAATAAAATAATTTTACTGTTTCGCAACTTTGAGGAAAAATACTCTGCATGTAGACCTATGAAACAGAGTGATTTCATGAGTTTCTGAACGGCGAGCTATTTAATAGCCTTGTTTGCTAATTAGAAAGATTTATATCCCTCTCGTCATCTCCCACAGAATTCAGAGCTGATCTGTCCAGCTGATTCAGAGACTGACTTAGAGGTCTCCACATTCATTATCTTTGACAATAAGCTGTTATATCACGTTAGCGATTTAAGACTAGTATCTGTTTAGGAATGGGGGAAAGAGGTTTAAAACTAATTTATAGGAATATAATCCACTGGTCGTTTTCAAGTTTAATCAAAAAATATTTTAGAGAATGTCTCAATACTAATTGGTCACACTGAGGTGACAAAATGTACTGTTCTTACTTTGCTAAGAAGAGAAAGAAGTCATTCATCTTCTTTTAGTTCAGACTTTCCGTGTAACCTGACAGTTTATTCTTTATCAAGGAATTAACATAATCTAAAATTATAAAGAAGAAGATTACCGGCATGCTACACACACAGTTGACCTTACAAGTCAAATAACGTCATCCACATCAATATGTTGTGCAGTTTTCACTATTACATAGAGAAAACTATAGCCACCCTGGTAGCCTTTTCCATATCTCATAATATCAACTACAAAAATACATTAATTTTTAATTCCTTCATGAACCATTGAGATATAAAAGAGACGATAATTCCAAATTATACAAACAACATGTAACATGTACCCTTTTAAAGCTACATATATGATATGAATTTTTAAAAATCTGGTTATTTCAAGGTTTTTTGTTTTCTGTTTTAAATAAATGAGGTAGATCTGAAACAAAATCATCAGAACTGTCTAATGCAATGTAAACGAAATGATTCTGTGAATTCTAGAGTAGTTGTCATATATTATTTGTAGAATTTTATATCAATATTTTAGTTAACAACCTGCATTATCTAATTATTAACAACCTAAATTAAGTGAATTTCCTCTTATTTTACATGCTAACTCTACATTACATGGAAACCAATCTAAATACACATTTTTTACCATCTGGCTTAAAAATATTTTCAGAAGATAAACAAACATTAAATGAACTTTATTTCTAATCATTGATGCATTTGGCATTATTTGTGAATAGCATTTCATTCATACCAAAACTTTTTAGAGACCTTTTTCTAGTATTAATGAATATAAAGGTAGCATGTATAGTAATAATAAAATTACAATAATAATATTAATAATATAAATTTTAATTTGCCATTAAGTCAATTAAAGATATATAATTACGTTGATTACAGAAATACTTCTGGGATTCACAGCCTTTCTATGGGCATACATTTAATCCGTGTGCTATGCTGTCGTGGGCTGCAGGACCTGTGCTGTGCTAACCCCTCCTCTCTTGTTCTCAGAGATGCTATGGGGAATGAGAAGAGCACACAAAGAGCTTGCAACATTAGGTAGGAAGGTCACCATCAATAAACCACTCCGTGCATTTATGGCACATGTATGAGAGGCGACATCTCTTAATAAGAGCAGTTTGACTTCCAAGCATTGGTGCTTCAGTTTTTCACATGACAGAAAGCAAACAAGAGACACACATTTCTGAGAACATTCAGTTACTGCACTTTGAGAGAAAGGGGGAAAAAACTGAAATGAAAAGAAAATGAACATAAAATTAGGTCACTGCTAAATTAATATTTTCTTTACGGGTTTTTCTTTACCACTTGCTTTTATATGCACTTCACATCTAAGTATTTCGGCTAAATGTGTTGAAAATCTTGCTTTTCCGTTGATGCTCCATTGGCAGGAGTGAACTCCGCTGCATCGGGGTCTAATTTACTCTAAAACAAGGAGTTCGTGAGAGCTTTGCACCCAACAACAAATCATTCTGATTTCATTTTTAAGTTATATCTGATACACTTTTCCCACAATGTCCCTTGATGTCTGCTTCCTCAGAAGTCTGTCTGCATCTCCGCAACATGAGAAGTTGATGTCTCAGACATTTGTTGCTCTACCGTTAGATTTTTTTCTGTAATATGTGAACTTGAGGACTCCTTGTCCTCTATTCATCCTAAATAAATTTGCCTCTGAGGACCAAATAGGGCCTCCCACACTGAACTTGGGTCTCTGTTCACACCATTTGCATGTTCATCACCGTATTCCTTTACTGATGTCTATCACATGTTGTATATGGGAAGATAAATGGAAGAAATTACAAGTTGCATTTCTTTACTGACCCAAGAGCCAGAAACTATGGATATTTCTTCTTTCTTGTACAGTCTCCTAGAGTCCTTGTTTACTTCATTCTCTTCATCAAAGCATAGCCTCCTCTTGGAAGCCATCCACACTGTTCCATGCAGCCAAGGCTTCTCCTTCTTGATTTTTCCTTGTACTTTGAACATTTGCCCATTTTAACACATACCTCATGCCATTAAAATAATCTCTTATTTCTCCTTCCTTTCCAAACTACATGGTCCTTAAGGAGAGGCTTTATGTGTTTCCCTTTCAAATTCCCTGTACCCGCAGAGTTTCCATCTCAATAAATAATTGTTGAATTAATGTTTAATAAAGTAATGACATTGTTCTTATAGTCCTTACGTTTAGAAGGCAGGTAGATTAGAGTACTTAGACAGGATCTTGTAAACAGGAACTTAGCACGTTCTGTTTCCAACATGGCCTTATGCAATTACTTTACACGTTGCACCCAGGACCTGAAGAGTGACTAGATTTATCAAAACCTGGAAAAAGGGTTGATGATTTGCTTACCGTTCTTGCATCCCATACAGACAAGGTCTTATCTGCAGAACCCGTGAGAAGAGTGTTCGAGTAAGGAAAAAATTCAATGCTGTTCACGGAATCTGTGTGTCCATACAACGTGCATCTGCATCTTTCACTGTACAGAGAGAAATTAAGAGTTAAAGTTTTAGGAGTTAGCACCTAAATGTTTCTTATGCTGTCTGTATAATGCTAACAAAGATAACTTAAGTATCTGAGGCATAAACAGCAAAAATGTACAAGAACAACATTTTAAAAGGAAAAATTCTACCACCATTTTGTGTTCTAAGCACTTTATAGAATTAGTAGCATAACATTGACTAAATTACCTTCAATTTATAGTCACTTGGCAAAGCCGTCTTGATACTATCTCATTTATTCCTTATCATGAAATGACTACATAAAAATTGCCCCCATCTAATAAAGGAACATACTGACAGATGAAAACATTTCACTAGGGTGTTAAGACCAGACAAACTTTGTCATTCTGTTTCTCTTTTTTTCTCAGTGTTGGCTGAGTATTAGAATCACTTGAGATACTTTTAGCACCTAGCCTCAAGGCCAGACATTCTATTTCCGTTGGTCTGAGATGGAACCTGCCCATTAGTGGGAATTAACATCTCTTCTGGTGATTACAATTTGCCTTTAGGACAAGAATAGAAACCAGTGGTTCTCAGTGTTTTACCCAGGCCAGCAGCCTCAGCATCACTTGAGAACATGTCGAAATGCTAATTTTCAGGCCTCATCTTAAACCCACTGAATCTGAAACTCTGAGGTTGGAGCCCAACAATCTGTGTTTCAACCAGCTCTCTAGATGATTCTGATGCATGCTAACATTTAAGAACTACTGATATAAACAATTATCAAGAACTGAGAAGGAAAGACAACTGACGTTTTGCCATTTTATGAAACAGCTGTTTCTTAATGAAACAGCGTAGACACACAGCAGTATCACTCCTCATTTGTACTGTTTGGTTGCTTTTAATTAACTTTATTTATAAACCTATTTTAAAAATAGAGAAAGAGTAGAAGCAGGATAACTGATAATGCTGAGAACAGAGGAGAGAATGTAAGTACACTTCTAATATGCTAACCAGTTAGTTAAGCTCTGATCGACTGGTTCCTCTCTGGCTTGAGCCATGCCATTTGCGACAGTATGGTGGAGTGGGAAAAATGCTGCAAGTGGAGCTGGGAGACCGGGTTCCAGTCCTAACTTTGACAGGAACTAGCAGGGGAACCATAGACAAGTTATTTAATCTCGGTGGCAGTAGGCTCCCTTCTTGTGAGAAGGAAATTACTTAATTTGATGCACTGAGAGACAATGCAGCTCCGACATTCTGAGATTCTTTGACCGAGGTTGTAAATGTAAAAGGGAAGGGGAGAAGTCAGACTGAACATCGCATCTAAGAACTGTCTGGAGCCAAGTTTGTTCCTCCTTACTTAAATTTTGGCATTTTTGAGAAGTCGAGATATTAAGATTTATGTGTATATGAATATGTATGTAACTCAGCAACACTTCCCTTAATTGAGCCTTTCCGTATCAAAGTATTATAGTAATTAATATCAGAAACAAGGAAATAAAATCAATAAATTCATTCATTAGGGCCACTTTGTATTAGTTTCTTTATCTCAATATTTCGGAGGCAGGCTAATAATATTTTGATCATTAAAGTTGATGATATGTCAATCTATATCACGGGTCAGCAAACCATGACCCATGGGCTGGCTGCTTAATTTTGCAAATAATATTTTATTGGAACATGTCAGTTTGTTTACACTTGTCTATTTGTGCTTTCCCATTACAGTAGCAGAATTGCATAGTTATAAGAGAGACCACATGGTTCAGAAGCCTAAAATATTTACTACCTGGCCCTTTAAGAAAATATATTTATAAGTATTCTTGGATTTTACTTAAGACATAATGTTTTTGAGATGGTCAATAACAAAAGATAAATTATTATATTTTATTTTTAAAGAATTACTGTTTTATTTAGAAGTTTTGCCTGCTATTCTCTAATGATTTTCAAAATATAAAATTTCTTTAAAGGTTTATATCCCAAAGCCCACTATATTGAAATAATCATCTTTAACTATTAGAGTAATTGTTCCAGATATAGCTCTATGGAAAGAGACAGAGAGATTTTACATAAAAATGAGAATTATAATATAACTATATTAAAATATTAAATTATATAGAACTTAACCATAAAACAAAACAAGTAGAATTAAAGGCATTGCTGAAAGTCAAGTAAATATTTTATTATTATTAGATACTATTCTCTAAAAGGTATCCTAACATTAAGAAAGACATTAAAATTGAGCATGTTTTTTAAAATTATATTTTCACTTATAGAAAGTATAATTAAATAAGGAAATGAATACATTTATAATTCCTCCCACTTTCCTTTTACTCGTCTTCTAATATTGTGAAATCATGTTGCTAATCTTACGATGTCAAAAATCATAACACATATTTGATTAGTAATCACAAATCCCATAGCTGCTTAGTGGATCCCCTGTCCTCCTAGTGTTCAGTCAATGAATATCTAATTAAGTTAATCCTCTGCATGCATACTTTTATACATTTTCTGATTATTCGGTACTTCAAGAGCAATTTCGACTGCTTATAATATCTTGGGTCATTAGTTCTTCCCCTCAGATGTTTGAGGAGAAATGTTTCACCATCTTGGACCACAGGCAAAGTGTGAGGCCAGCCTAATCTCTCCTGCCTTCCCCACCCAACTTCTTTAGTGGGGGATTTGCTTTTTATGCTCAATAGCCTTTATCATTTCTTGGCAAACACTTAAGTTCAGAAATATCAGCACTGCATGATTTGATAGCTCTTTCCATCTATTATTCTTAGGCTTTTCTTATTCTAAGAGAGTTTCTTCCACTATATCTATATTTCTTTCTCTTTCATTTATTCCATTTGTTTTTTCTTTAGGAACACTAGCTATGTTTTATTTTGTCTTATTTGCTTCTACATTTGACATTTTCTCTGTAACCCTTATATCCTTACATTTTTTTTCATTTCACACCTGTTCTTTACAATTCTCAACTGTGTTTATTTTATTTGTGTGTGTGTGTGTGTGTGTGTGTGTGTGTGTGTGTGTGGCAGGGGGGGCAGGGGAGGAGCAATCAACAGCTTTTATGTATGTTTTCTATTTAACTTATTTCCTAATCTTTCTGTGTTTGCTTTCTATCTTCATCTATTGTCTTACAAAATCATAATGGAATGCTTTAACTCTTTTGATGTTTCATTTTATTATCTAAAATCAATTTAGAACATAGCATTTCTCTAATTTCTTTGAAAATGTCGAGTTCTTTTTGCCTGAATTAGTGATGACTTTACTTAGGTAATTCCTACGCACTGTATGTTTTCAGTGGAATTTGGTTTATATTCACTTATTCTTCAATTTTTGCAATTCTTCATAAATTCTGGGTTGGTTTCTTTTTATTATGACTTATCCTTGTATGGGGACAGCTACTTGCTAAAGATTATTGGCAGAAGGAGGCAGATTGGGCTTAAGTTATCTCCAACTTCTAATCAGATGTTGTCTTCCACAAAGACTTCTCCCCACGTGTGTTACTGACTTGATCTCTGAAGTTCGTCTCTCCTCCATTTCAGTATTTCAAAGTATGGAGGTAGCTTTTGCAAAATCCCTTCAGTCACAGGCTCTATATTAACTCTAAAGGCTCCTGCTTCCTTTACCACCCTCACCTGCCTCACTATGACAGTCTCCTTTATCTAGCAATAAAAATGCCGTGTTAGGATTTGTGCTTTTAACCATGACAGAGTAACCAGTACTGTAATTCTCTTTCCACAATAAATAGCTATAAAATTATGTAAGACAATTATTTTCTGTCACTGAACTAAACACGGCACAGGATGATAATCTTTGAGCGAAGGAGAAAACTCAACATGAGCTCCATGACCTCCTAGTCTTCTGTTTGGAAGGGCTTCCCTGCTGTCGCTACAGCAGTAGAACCCCGTAGAACTGGAGTCTCCCTGAGTCAAGAGGCAGCGAGGACAGTCTGGGCCACTGATGTGCCTGGAATTTGCTGTATAAGGTACCTGCAAAAGGGAGCTAGACTGGAAGGGCAGCAGTTTGTCAGGATTGACTGTATTGTTGGCCAACGTCTAGATGGCATTTCTACAGAATAAGATTCCACAAGGCTTAAGCAGAGATTTCCTGCTCTGTGGTTGAAAGCTGAAAAGTGATACAATAGACCAGGCACTGCTAGAAAACACTGGACTTTTATGCCAACCAGAGTGGAAAAACTTCCCTGAACACCTCAGACTTTCAGTTGGGATTCAAGAAATGCCCTACCATAAACGTAAGGGTCAGGATCATGAATTAAGTTCAAAACCAAAGTAGACTTGTCTTATCAAAGAATAAAACCAAGCCTGAAAGGGCAAGAATGATTTGCCTATGTGTAATTAAACTGATCGCTAAAATAGAATTCATTATCTTTTATATAAAGACCACCTAATACACTCCCTACAATTTGCCTTTAACAACATCCAGCAGATAATAATAATAAAAAAAAATTACTACGCATGTGAAGAGGTAGAAAGTGTGACCCATATATATTTCTGTGAATAATTGAATATTTATAGTGATCCTATTCTTTTATCAAGTATGTCTCTCATACTTGCATGAGTCAAGTAACATGCATCTTCACAGGTGGCAGAGGATCTTTAATACTTGGAATAGCTATACTATTAACAAATATACCTTCTGCTTTCTAAAGGCACGTGTTACATAGCTGCTGGGATGTCTTTTATGTTTAATTAAAAAGGAAATAAAAAGGAAAGGAAACATAAAGAAATAGACAAACAAAAATCCACAAATGATTTAACAGAAAAATAAGGGAGAGAAAATAAAGGCAATACAGAGAGTTGCTTAAAAAAAAAAGAGAAAGAAAGATGTCTGTGATCAGCATCAGCAAAATATTAAACTATGGCTAATATTTCTGACTTCCTATGAGCTATTATTGAAATAGAGTTCCACCTGTGACAAAATTAACAATTACTATTTGTAAGTAGATCGTTAGTGATAACGTTTTAGAAGGCTGTATTCATCAAAGAGAATAAACCTGAATAGGATTTTTATT